GATTGCGGCGTGACCATTCCCCCGGGGGGTGATTTCTCGCTTTCTGTCTCTATGTCTCTCTCTGTCTGGCGAGCACACACGTCCTATAGCGAAAACCTCTCAAAAAAAAAAAAAAAAAAAAAGGAAAGAAAAAGAAAGAAATCAAAATAGTGAGACGTGGGGTGGGTTTTCGACTGGGAAGCACCCGGGCTTTCTGTGGAGGCCAAGGTCTTGATCCGGGCCGTGACTTTGGGGTGCTCCCGAGGTAGATTCACTGAGTGTGCGTTTAGGGTTTGTTCTATCTCAGTCTTAGAAGCCAGCAACAGGGACTGCCACACGCTAGATAAGAGGTGTGGTCTACTGGGTGCACCTGAGTCCAAAGGCTGTGTCCTTTGTCATGGTGAAGCCAGGGGTCCCCCCACCACACCACAGCCCAGAAGCAGAGGACAGACCAGAGAGGGCTGTGGGGAGGGGGCATTGGGGTCAAAGGTCAACAAGGGGGGGAGCTGTTGGGAGAGCTCTCTCACTTCTATTGATGTAGCCTAGTCTTTCCATAATAGAACTCTTTAGAATACTTTACTATTTTAATAGCTAAAATTTGAAAATACCCCAGTATCAGGCCGGCAGGTGGCGTGGTGGTTAAGGGTGCCTGACTCCCACATGGCTGACCAAGGTTGGAATCCTGGACCTGACAGCTTGCTTTCTCACTTTCCCTCTCTCTTTCTCCCTCTCACTCATCCTTCTCTGGTCAAATTAAAATAAATAAATAAATAAATAAAGTTAAATAAAAGTCATTCTTAAAAGAAGAAAATAGCTGAACGTCCACAACAAAGGGTCGTTCTATGTGGCTGCACATGGGCTCAGCAGGGCGGGGCGCCCTCTGAAGAGGTCCGAAGGGAGAACAAGGACCAACTTTATTTTTTGAGAACGGACTTCCAGGGAATTTTCAGTTTCTGCTTTTCTTATCAGCTGGATGATCTGCAGCCAGCGCCTGGTGCTTTTATAGTCACAAAAGACCAGGAGCGGGGCGACGGGGTGGGGACAGGCCAGATCCGCCCGCTGGAGCTGCCCTGTCCCTCCCCGGCCTCCCTCTGCCTCCACCCCACACATCCAGATTCACCTGTTCGCCCAAGAGAAGGGCGGGACTGAGGACGGAAGCGACACGGGATGCGATGCGGCGGAGAGGGAGCAAGAGGGCCGGAGTGGGACGAGTATTCGCTGCGCGGCCCTGGCGCGGTCACTGGGCTCCGGTTCCTCCCCGGCGGAGCGGGCCGAGCGGGCGCGGCAGCGGCTGCGGGATTAAAGCAGTCAATCCCGTAAGAGCAGGGCGGAGTGCGACGCAGTGGCACTCGGGGCAGGGCTCTGCTTCTCCGGGCCGGCGGACCCGTCCAGCCCCTTCCCTCGGATGGGGGTTTCCCGTCCACACAGCCTGCGGGACCTCCCGGGGAAGCCCGGACCGCATCCTGGCATCCACCGCGAGCGGCCGTCCCCATTGGCGGGCGCGACTCCGCA